CTCTGCTAATTCACCAATGCAGCCCCACCCCAGTGCTCCCAGCAGCCTCACTCTCCTAATCCCAGCTGTGGCCCAGCTGTCCCAGCACAAGGGAAGATGAGGGGCCAGGGGCAGAAGTGTGCACCATCCTTCTCCTGGAAGGGACCTGGGAAGCCCCCACCCAGTGTCCCAGTGAGGCTCTTAATTCCCTAAGCACTGTCAAACCACCACTCAGGGCGAGGGGCTCCTGTCTGAGACCTGCAAAGCCTGGCTCCTCTGTGGTCCCTGGTGCCCACCCACCTCGTCTCCTCTGCTGTCACCTGTGGCTGTCATTCTTCACTCTGGCTTTTTTCTGGATGGCTTTTAGCCCAAACTTTCCCCAACCCTTCCTCCTTCTGTTCTATGCCTGCCATATCACTGGCCTTTTAAATTTTCTGCGTGGCCTCTGTCTTTGGAAATCATTTTATTTTGTTGATTTGATCCACAAATATTTACTGAGCATCTACTATGTGTTAGGCTGTGTTTTGTGAGTCTCCAGACTTCCCGGGAGGTTATTAAGCTAAACCCAAACTGCACTCACTCATGCCCCACAGAGTCGCTTGGGTTTGGCTCTAAAGTCAGAGTGGACATGGAAGAGGCCATGACCAAAGCGTTCTGTAGCATTTTCAGGCCACACATGGTTCCCGCTCATGACGCTTCCACTGAGAATTCCCCGCCTTACAACCGTGTGAAAGTGACACACTCAGTAGAAACCACGTTTGAACTTGGATCTCTTCTAGGTGTGTGGATAAGAGAGGGCGGCTCCTTGGCCACGAGCACAGCTCCAGCAGGCCCTGTGACCACGGGTGGGGCGGCTGGTGCTCCAAGCGGGCCGCTCGGAGGTTCGGTATACTCGAGACGTGCTGTTTTGCATTTTTCAGTGCACTTTTTTCCCTTGGATAATTTCGATTTGCAATGGACTGACTGCACTGTAGTTCTACAAGCATGCGCTCCAAGGTTCTTGTTCCACTAGGACTCAGTCCTTCCTTTGTCCTAAGTCGCTGGATTCTCAACCCCACTGGTGACGGATGTGGTGAGTGATGCCACTGTATGCTAAAGAAAGAGGGGTCCGGGGAGGCTAAGCCAGTGCCCCAGAGGCTGACGGAGTCGGAGTCGGAGCCGGTCTCAGGACTCCCGTAGTCCGCTGGTGAGCTAGGGTGGAGCTCAGGACCACAACCTGACAGCGTGGGCGAGGGAGCTGTCCGAGAGCAGGCCCACCTCACTATCCAAGCTGCTCGGATTGGCCTTCAGCTGAGAACAAATAAAGCCAGGCCCCAGCCCTGCCCAAGCCTGAAGGGACTCGAGTGTGTGATCCCTTCCTTATAAACAAGTGCAGATGACAGCTGTGTGTGGGTCACTGGCAGGGGCAGGGGGAGTGCACTGCCCATCAAGGAGGGTCGCACAGAGAGGGGCAGCGAGGCAGTGGATGGCAGAGCTAATCAGAGGGCAGCAGTGGCAGCGGACCCCTTCTCAGTGGAGATACAGACAGGGCGGGGCCGGTATGCCCCTGGTCTCTGGCTGGGGACCTGCCTCTGTAGACAGTGGGGACACAGGAGGACTAGAGCAGAGGTGGGATGGGTGGAGACAGTGACAGCTCATGGCAGCGAGCTTGTGGGGCCAGGAACACCCTGATGGAGGTGACCAGTTCTCATATGAGTGATACTTTAAGTGTCCTGGAATTTGATGTTGGGTCTTTGTGTTTTTATGGAGGAACGTGGAGCTTCTCAGGATGCAAGAACAACACTCTGCCAGGAAAGGGCCTTGCAATGAAGAGGTTGCTTCCTCTGGAAAGCTCCCAGAAATGCAGCAGGGGTCCCCAGGGAGCCCCCAGTGGATTTAGTGATGACCAGTGGCTTTTGACTTTGCACCTGAAGTTTTCCTTCCACCGGGGTCTTGGTCTCAGGCTCTGTGTGGGCACCATGGCCAGCCTCAGCATGACACTGTGAGCTGGGCAGGGTCAGGCTGGACTGTGCAGAAGGAACTTGACATTGGGATCTAAAGCCGCAGGGACCAGAGTACCTGGGGCACCTGCTGAGGCTGAGGCCATGCCCACTGGATGAGCCCCTCAGGTTGCAAGCTGTACAATGTTTGGACAGGCTTAGAAGAGGCTTGGGTCCATGGAAACAGGCCCTTCACACATTTCTTGCAGGACTTTTTCACAAGTTATGGGTTGTGCCCGCTGTACTGCTAGTGCAGCGTAGGAGTGTGTTGCTCACCAGGGGGGGTGTGCCTGGGACCGTGCGATGCCCTTGTTTGGAAACAAAGGCAGACAAGGCATGGGGGACATGGGGAATGATGCCTGACACTCCCCACTTCAGAGACCCTTGTCACAGTGACCCTTGTCTGCCCCCGTCACAGCTGGACATGACATCTAGCCTTGGTCTTCTGGGGCCAGTGAGATATCTCTGCGTGGGCCACTTTGGCATTCTATGTGGCCAGCCACAAAGAGAACATACAGACAGCCTGGTGCCATGGCTGAGTCTGGGGTTGCTGTCCCTGGGGATGTCTTGTTGTGTGACCTGCCCCTACAATTTAAGCTGGCTATGTTACAGGCAGCTGGGAACACTGGAAGAGATACACAGATTTCCCAGAAGGAAGGCTGAGACCCCGCCCTGGCCCCAGGGGAGCACGGACACAAGCACACTTGGGCTGAGAGCCCGGTCCACTTGCACTTAGGGTGTCCCTGCCTGCCATGTGCAGGTGTCTCCTTAGGGTTACTCTCCGCTACTCGGAACACATGTGAGGGACCCTATGATGGGCTGGCCATGAGCCGGGTCACCACGTCAAGTCCGGGCCTCCATCTTGTATCTCCACGTAGAAGTGCTGACTGAGCCTAACTGCAAGCCTTCTGTCTCTGCTCCCAGGGCCGCAGAGCGTCTCTGAGTGGAACAGGACAACAAAGAAATCTTCTGGCCAAATACCACCCACGTCTCCCCTTTCACTGCCAGCCTGTGTGACTCGGGAGCCAGAAGCAAAGCAGAGGGCCTCCTGGCCTCTGCAGGGAACAGGAAGGATGTGGGGGCCTCATGGCACCCCAGGTGACCAGGGCAGTTCCCTTTCTCTTGCTGCACCATGCATCTCTGGGCAGATTTTGAAGGGTCTGCCCTTGGTTTGTCAGAACTCCTCCTCCCATACAGGGGAAGCACGGTGGCGACAGTCATGCGTATAGGGCGACAGGGAATGGTGGGGCCTGTGTTAAGTTTGTAAGCTGGACCTGGAGATGTGCACGCTCAAACGCAAACACCTGTGGTGCATACCTCAGCTCAGGCCTGTGGGTCCTATTGTCTTCGGTTCCTAAGACAAGGGGATGCAGCCTGAGGGCTCCTGAATCTCATGTGTCACCTGGGGGAAGAGAGGTGGCTGCAGGCAGATGTGGACACACAGCTGGGTGACAATTCCCAGAGGCAAGGAGGACAGGGGCAGCCCGGAGTTTTGAAAGAGGCCACTGCTTTTAAGCAGAGAATGGGTGATCAGAAGCCTGCAATGCATCTCACCACCCTGAGTGCCGGCCAAGGAGGGTCTCACTTTAAGGCTTGCTGTGTATGTGCCTGCTTTATCCGCTGCCTCTCTCAGAGTGTCCTTCCGGGACTGTTGGATGACAGGGAGGATTGAAGCTGGAACTGGTCCTGTGGAGGGGGGATTGGTCAGAGCTCTGCCTGGGTCGGAAGGGAGTGACATGGGAAGAAGCGGCCTCCAGGAGTGTCAAGGAGACAGTATCGTCCCGAAGCAACATCACATAGCTTAGTTCCATGGACCCAACTGTCCCCTTGAGAAGGGAGAGAGTTACTCCTCAGTTCTGCTTTCATCCTGATTACACCAAAGAAAACACCTGCGCCCGGCCCTGGCATCTCCATGCCCAGTGCCCTTGCTGGAGAGCCTTGGCCTTTCACAGACGGCAGCAGCAATGATTTCTCCCCTTCCCTTTCATTTACTGGGGCAGGGGCGTGTGTCTTTGATTCATAGTGAGCTGGTGAGAGGCTGGGGTTGTCATGGATGACAGTGATTTACCCTCAAAAAGGTAAGTAAGTCATTAAGCACCCCCTGAAGATGCAGCGGTATTGCTGAAGCACGGCAGTGATCATAAACACAGCAGAGAAGCGAGCTGGGGGCTGGTGCTGTTTATGCTGCTTCTGCGGAGCACAGAAAGTGCATCCCCGGGAAGCAGGACAGAGCCCAGCAAGGGCCACTCTGGCCTGGCTGGCTGGCTGCCCTCATCTTCATGGGACCTCTTGCATGCCCAGCTCTGGAATCATCTCTCCTCTGACCCTTTGACTCCAGCTCCAACTTTGTCCATAACCAGCCAGGTCATCAGAGGTCATGAGAGCCGCACTTGCAGGGGTGAGGGGAAGAGGACCTTCCACAGCTACAAGGAGGCTGCTCCCTCTAGGGGTGGCTAAGCAGGAAGGGGGCTCAGTGGTAAGAAAGTTAATGCTGACAACTAGCCTCGGCGCCCTTGGGTGACATACAGAGCACAGCTGCCAGGTGGAGATGGCTCTTGAGAAGCAGGGGCCTCGCACCTGGGTTCCAGGAATGATAGCACTGAGGGTAGGATGTCACAGCCCCGGCCACTGAGCAAGTCACGCTTTTCCCTCCTTCTGACACCAGTTTCCTGGCCGCAAGGGCGGGGCCTAAGGCATCTCTGCATCCCTTGGCCCTAACCAAGGTCCACACAGACCCGGGCAGAGAGAATGAAGGACCAAAGGGACAGGTGTCTGTGTCTCAGCTCCAGGAAAGCAAAGCAGGGGCTGGGGATGTTTCTGCAGCCGCATGCCTGCGGGGCTGCCCAGGAGCGGCCTGGTGGGAGAGTGACTACAGGCCAGGGGGATGAGCTGCCCTGCGGAGGGCAGGGAGCCCACAGCACACCTGCGCTGCATAAACTGAGCTGTCTCAGGTGCTAATTGGAAAAGGTGGGCGGAGTGTGGAGAGCCCATCTCAGGCGGGGGTGGGATGCACGGGCCAGGGGCCTCATGGAACAGGTGAGGGCAGGACCCCGACCGCGAGTGGGGGCCAAAGCCCCAGTCCTGCGGGAAGAACTGTGCCCTGAGGCTGCAGCGGAGAGGAGCTGGGGTCTCGCGGTCCTGTCTTTCTAAGGAAGGGCGAAAGTTGGTTTTCGGAGTAGCTCAGGAAGGGCGCCCCCATCAGGGCAGGGCCGGCCCAGCGCAGCGCCGGAGCCGCCCTCGCCCTCGCGTCCTCCTTCCCGGTCGGGCCGGCTCGGGGCGCAGGAGGCGGCGCGGCGCCCTGCTCCGGGCGGGGCCGCTCCCGCGTGCCCGCCGCCCGCTCCGCCGCCCGCAGCGCTTCCCCGCCGCCGCCTCGGGGCGTCTCTGCTCCGCCGGCGGGGCCGCGGCGCGAGGAGGGGAGGCGGCGGCCGCGCGGAGAAGCGCCGGGTCACCGCAGGCGGAGGCGCCGCGCGCCGGCCCGCCCTCCCTCCCGCCGCCTCCCGCGCCGCCTCCCGCGCCGCCTCCTGCGCTCCCCGCCCTCTCCCGCGCCCGCCTCCTCCGCCCCGCGCCCTGCGGTGCTGCAGCTGCGGGCGGCTCCGGCGGCCCCAGATGTGGGCTGGGCGGCGCGCGGGGAACTTTCGCGCCGGCTGCGAGTGCGGGCCGCGGCCGCGGTCCCGGTGCCATGGCTCGGCGCCCGCTCTGCCCCGCGCTGCTGCTGCTGCTGCTGCCGCCGCTCCTGAGCCCGGCGCCGCCCGCGCACGCCCGGCTCGCCGCCGCCGGCGCCCCAGGTGAGTGCGGGTCCTCGCGGCCCGCGCCCCCTCCCCCGCCGCGCCCGGCCCGACTTGGGCAAACTCCGCGCGCCCCGCCCGGGGCCAAGTTGGCCAACTTCGGGGCCGGGGCGGTGGCGCGGGGGGCGCGGGGCGCGGAGCCCGGGTCGGCGGAGCCCGCGGCGGGGAGCAGCGTTCGGGCAGCGGGTCCGGGCAGCCGGGCGAGGCGGCGCCAGTGCTCGCGTCCGGGGACGCTCGGGAGGAGCTGGACCGAGTGCGCCGCCCGGGCCCTCGGGATTGGTCGGGGCGCCCCGGAGGGGATCCCCGGAGATCCGCGGGACCCTGCCTTACCCCTGCCTGTCAGCGGGCGGGGAGAGGGGCCGCGCCAGACCCCGAGAACAGGCCGCCCGTGCGCGAGGAGCCACGTCCCCGCGGCCTCGGAGGCCCCGCTGGGCACTTAGGCAGCAGGGCGCCGCGGGGTCGAGGCGCGCGGGCGGGGGCCACCAAGCACGGCTTTCGCGCAGCCCGGTGTTTTGCCTGGGGCTGTGGGTGCGAGGCCGGGGCGTTCTGCCCGGATCATCCCGGGGGACTTCCAGGTGCCAGCGGGGCCCCTGCTGGAGTGGGGCAGGAGCGCGAGTCCACGGCTGCGCGGTCCTCGAGGGCCCAGCCGGGGCGCTAGGGCCCCTTCCCACCCCTCGGGGCGAGGCTGGGGTGCGGGCTCTGCGGCGGAGCACTGGGGCTCCGAAGTCTGCTGATCTGACGCCCCTTCCCGTTGCAGGCGGGCCCCCGGGGCGCGGAGCCGAGCGCATCCTGGCGGTGCCGGTGCGCACTGACGCCCAGGGCCGCTTGGTGTCCCACGTGGTGTCAGCGGCAGCAGCGGTGGCTGGGGCGGGGGCGCGAGCCCGCAGGGCTGCCCCGGTCCAGACCTCGGGTTTCCCCGGGGGCAGCGAAGAGGACTCCGGTGGCCGCCTCTACTACAACGTTACGGTCTTCGGGAGAGACCTGCACCTGCGACTGCGACCCAACGGCCGCCTCGTGGCTCCCGGGGCCACCGTGGAGTGGCAGGGTGAGACGGGCGCCACCCGCGTGGAGCCCCTGCTCGGGACCTGCCTCTACGTCGGGGACGTGGCCGGCGTGGCTAAAGCCTCCTCCGTGGCGCTCAGCAACTGCGACGGGCTGGTGAGCACTGTTCTTTCTCTCCTCGGTGGACCGGTTCCCGGGGTCCCCTTGGGAGGGGCAGGCCTGAGCTGAGAACCAGCCTTTCCTGCCCACCGGGTGCTTAGGGACCACCTGCAAGGCTGAGCTTGACCGGAGGGCAAGCTGTTTCTGACTCTCTGAGGGGTTGATTTAGGGAGCCCCAAATCTGCTCCTTTTTACCCCCGTGCCTACGTGCAGGGTTTACAGGTTTAAGTCGGTGTCTCTGTGTGTGTGCATGTAGTCTCGGAAGTGTGTGCACTTGCACGAGTTTTGGAATGGTGTGTGCTTGTGTCTGGGTGCTGGCATACCCGTGTGAACCCGGAGTGTGCCCTTCCCTCTCCAGCGTGGGGCGTCTCTGAGTTTCTGCTCACCTGTGTATCCTCGTATCTGTTGAGTGAGCTTCTGTGGCTTTTAGAGCATGGATATGTGGAGTGTGTGTGTGTGTGTGTGTGTGTGTGTGTGTGTGTGTGTGCACGTGCACTGGCAGTGAGTATTCTTGCTTCTGTGTCTGTGAGTGATACCAGCCCCAGGGCAGATTGTGATCCCAAGGTGCCTGGTCACCCTCTGCCCTTGGCTGGTCAGTGATTTTACAAGGCAGTGATTTTACACTGTGGTTTCCTGCTGAACTCCAGCTGGCTGTTTGAAAAGTCAGTATTCTCCATTTGGAGCCAAGGGGAGTGTCTGGTGCCTGGGAGCTGCTTGATCTTCTGGGGGGCAGTCCCTGAAGGACAGGAGAGGCAGGCAGGATCCTCCTTCAGGATCGTGGGGCTGCCCAGTATGACCAGAGCCCTGGGATGTCCACCTGCTTCAGGGACCCAGCGGGACCGTGGCTCAATGCGAGGGCATCTTGGAGGGACCCAGTCAGTGCGCAGGGAGGAGGCCGACGTTGGTGGTACAGCACAGTCCCGCAGCCGGGGCCTGGCACACGGCAGCAGCCACTGCAGTTTTCTATTTTGGGTTGGGTATGTGGTGGTCAGGCCGGCCGTGCTGGCCAGACATCTGAAGCTGCCCACCGTGGGTTCTGCTCTAATTGCTGCCCGGGTGCTGCCAGCCTCCGGGCCCTGAGCCTGGCGGTCCTCAGGCTGCCCCGCTGGCCCTGCTGGCCGCAGAGCCTGCCATTACCCCCAGCCTGTAACCACTGGTGTTCTTTTTATGGACACACAGGAAACGTCACTTGTTGCTTCAGAAAATCACTGCCTGTGGTTGGAGTGAGTTAGAAGCTGGGCCTGCTGCAAATCCGTGACTGCAAATGTCCTTGGAGGAGTAGGGTGGACGCAGGACAGCTGTTTGTATTCCCTGCTGGCTCTGAGGGTTGCCCCGGGGCTCCCAGTGTGTCTGATCTTACGCTGCAGGCGGGTTTCCGATGCCAGGAGACTCGCTGGGGACTTGGTAAGGTGAGGGACAGCGCACGTGGGTGTGATTGCTGTCAGCCTTGGAGTGCATCAGGAAGGGCTGTGCCTCATTCCTCTTCATTCAGCCACCCCTCAGATGTCTGGTCCTGTTCAGAGATGTGGCAGACCCCTGCCCATGGGGGTGGGAATGGTGGGGGTGAGGGTGTCCTTGGCTTGGGTGTGCTCCTGGGGCTCTCCACATGGGGTCTCGGGCGGACTGGCTAGCTGGAGAGAGGAGTGTACCAACGAGCCAGGTGTGGGCTGGCCGGGGCAGGACAGGTATGCTAATGTATCACAGGGGTCAGACGTCTGCAGGGCTGGAAGGAACCCTGGGGACGCCTGACTGGCCTTGATGGCCAGTTCATAGTGGCCTCAAGGCAGTAGGCCACCATTATTAGTTCTCCATTTGTTCTGGTCTTTTAAGAGAAAAATGTATATCTGTTGCAATTTTATGCCAGTTAATTCCTTAGCCCTTAAAGTCCCCTTGTGCCTCTGTGATTTCCCTTGGCCAAGGAGCCAGGGCTCCACACCACAGGGTGCTTCTGTGTCTATAGACACTGCAGGTGGCAGGGGGAAGCCTGGTCCTGGGGGTGCAGATGCTGTATGAAGCTCCGAGAGGTTGAGTGACTTGCGTGCGGTCCCTCACCAGGGCTGGCGGGAGTCAAGCCCTTGTGCCTTGGGGCTCCCGAGTCTGAGTGGGTGGGGGATGCTGAGATGCAGTGAGGGAGCAGTGACCTGTGCCCCCCAGACTTCCTGTGGCCCAGTGACAACCTGTGCTGCCTGAGCCCTGAGTTCAGCCTCCCGCGCTTCTCCCAGGTGGATGGCAGATGCCTGAAACCTGGGGTTGCAGGGTCTAATGACCAAGCAGATTCAGCTGCTCCCCGGGGGAGGCCCAGGCTCTGCATCTACCTGGAGACCTCAAGAGGCTTTGCCAAAGGCCTGCTCACCCTGTTCCTCCCAGAGCGGTCTGTGAAGCTCTGCTCTGAGCAGTGAGCTCACAGGTCACAGGAAAAGGGAGAGCCGGCAGCTGCGTCCCCTGGGGACCGGGAGCTCTGGATGGGACACTGAAGAGGCCCGAAGAGCTTAGTGTGACCCAGCACTTTGCTCGTGGCTGGATCCTTTGCATGCACAGCATGCATGCAGAGCCCCGAGCGGCATGTGGAGGACCATGGTAACTAGGTCCCTTTCAGGTGCGTGGCACACATTAGGTATTGGCATCCTGATCCTGAAGACTGCGCACTCCTCTGAGGTGAGGGCAGGCTCTAGTTGTCGTTACCAGAGGTACTGGGCTCCTATTTAGTGCCAGGGACTCATGTCACTGTAGCAGTCAGAGTCATTTCAGCTATGGTGACAGAAAACTCACATTAGTTTAGACATGAGGGGACCTACTCAGCTCACTAAGCATTACGTCTTCAGGTGCGGCTGCATCTGGGCACTGCTCTGTGGTGACCTGTGGGCCCTGGTGGAGCCATGCTGCCCTTTCCCACCAACCTTAGCGGGATCTTGTGTGTGTCACTCAGACTCTCTAGGGTGACGCCCAAAGTCTTGGGCCGAAAGACAGTGTGTGTACTCATGGAGGGGCTGCTGAGTATGACATCCAGCCTCAAGTACAGCGGCCAGGAGTTGTGCGTAGTATTCTCTGGGCAGAGCAGAAACTGCCCATCCCGCGGGGAGAGATTGCTGAGCTGAGTCTCCCGCACATTATGCTGCTGCAGAGGTGGTTCTAGTGGGGCCAAGGGACGGGTGCAGAGACTGTGCATCATTTTTGTACACTGATTGAAAGCCCAAGGAGAGGCTGTTGGCATAAGGAGTAATAATCGTGACAGTGTTTAGCCGGGCCAAGCGCTTCTGTCCCATGGCCTTGTTTTGTCCTCATAAGGGCCTGTGGAGTGGGTCCTGATTTCATCCCCATTCTGCAGAAGGGTAAACCAAGGCTCAGGAGACCAGAGAGCTGGCTGTAGTCTTGGCAGCCAGGATTTGAACACACGTCTGTCTGACCACAGGGTCATGGTACTTTTTTTCCCCTGCATGATAACGAAAAGAACAAAGATGAACGTTTTCATAGTACACTTTCGGCCCCTCCTGTTCCATCCTGGAGGGCTCCTCGGTTGGCAGTGTTGGCCATTGTCAGTGTGAGTGAGGGCTCGGGAGCGGCCCGTGGGCTGAGTGTCCTTTGGCTGTTGGGAACTGGCTGTGGGCCATAGCTCGTGAGCATCCAGATGCCTCGCTGCCAGGTCACCACAGTGGGGACTCTAGTGGATGGAAGCTGCCACTTCTGTCCTTCACTCTGTGGGGCCAGGGACCTCCCTGCCTCAGCGCTGGACCCAGTGATTGCTGCCTGCGAGGGCAGTAGGGAGGGTCTGGCCTTTGAGGACTGATCTGGTCCTGGGGCCTTTGAGAGCAGGTGACACCTCCTGTGGGGGCTCTGGAGGGGTCCCCGCGAGCCTCAGTGTGTCCCAAGCTCAGAGGGCCCTGGGTCCACAGCAAGGAGGAAGCTGGCTGCTGCCTCTTGGGCCAGTGCAGGCGGTGTGCTGGTCAGTACTCAAACAGCCAGTCTTGGGCATTTGGAATCACTGGAAGACACAGGGAGAAGGCACAGCTGTCACTAGGGACCCAATTAGAGGGCTGCAGGTGCCGACGGGTCCCGGGGCTGGGGCTGGGGTGACGGGTCCAGCCGGCCACTCAGGGTCCCACTCCCTCCCGCTCTGCAGTGAGAGGGGGTAGTAGCTGGAGAGAGGCTCTCCTCAGGTCAGAGTGGGGTCCTTCCTGGCCACTGCTGAAGCATCTGCGTAGCCCCTGTGGCAGTCTCAACCTCCCCTCAGCTGGCTACCTTCCTTCGGATTCACTTTAAGTGACAGAAAGTTGGCTCATGGTGGATGCAGCCTGCAGAGGACTTGATGGACGCAGTGATTTGAGGGTTCTGAGGAGGTTAGCCTCAGGCACGCTGCACCCAGCAACTCAGAATGCGCTGTCTCAGTCCAGCCACTCAGATCATTCTAGAATGCGCCCCTCTTGTGTGGGAGCCTTCAGCAGCCCTGGGCCTGACCTATCTTCCAAGGAGTACGTCCTCTGAACTGAATGGGCCCTGCAAGAGTCCAGGCACCTCCTGGATCATTGTTCAACCATCTGTAATGTGGATGCTGAGTCTTGTGCCCACCTTTGTGACACCCCACCTCAGAAGTGGGAGGAGTTCAGTAGTGCTCGGCTGTGCAGCTGCTTGGGGGCACCTTCCCCACACATCCTGATGTTCTGTGCCATCCTCTACGCCCCACCTTTCGCTTGGATGGGAGTCCCAGGGCCCCTTCTTCTAGAGCACTGATACCCAGCTAGCCTCGTCTTGGAGACGGCTGGGCTGCACCCTGGTCTTCGCCCAGGGCTGCCTACCGCACCTGGCCTCATGCCCTGTCTTTGCCCCATGCAGCAGCCATCTGTCAAATCGTGTCACCTCTTTGCTTTTTACTGCTCTTCAAAAAGAAAAATCCAAAGCGGTGGGCCTGGTGCTCTGGCCCCTCTCTTTTCTGTGGCTCGGCTGGGACCACAAGCCTTGTCTGTCACCGTCTATCGCCGGACCCCCTATGGCTGTGCCCTGTC